CCGACGGAGGCAGTGCTAGGGGGGAGGAGGGAGGCAGACAGTGTAAGGCAAACAGTCCACGCCCCTTCGAAGGTTGTTTGTTTTCAACCCCTCGAAGGGGCGTGGACTGTTTGCCTATCTGTCTGCCTCCCTCCTCCCCCTAGCACTGCCTCCGCCGGCACGCCGGCCGGCCGGCGGACTATGAAAGCAGCCGTCGTGAGACTTTCGGACCGCATATTGTGGCGATAAAACAGTAGATAACTAAAAATCGAGTCATCTGCGGACGGCAAATAGAACCCTATTTCAAGGCTTCCTTTACTATCCCAGATTTGAGGTCATAGCGCTAATCGAGAAGAAGTGAGGGTACTGCGCTAAATCATTTGCTAAAGTGCAACTTCTACTGAGAGGAAGGGTGCTTGGTATCTATGTCGCTCCTTTTTTTAAAAGAAGATTCCGACCAGCCCAGGTCGGCGTGAAAGATGACCCAGTTTTGGGTTAGTGACCGCGATGGCACCTCCTGACCCACAACGCTGTTACCGTGTAATAACATAACTTCTTCTTATATCTATGTTGAAGCAGAATCTTTTTAACCCGTGAGACGCCCATTATTACGATAACTCCGGCATCGTTTTACGAGCAGTTTGTACTACGCGTACAATGTCAAAAACGAATTCTAAGACAGTAGTTTTAGACGCCTATCGACACTGTAGAAGGCAGCCACCGAACAAGGAAGTACAAAGTAAAAAAATTCTCTTACGATACCTTTCCTTGGAACAAGCCTCGTCGCCGTAGAAGACTTATTAACGTAAGCTCGACATGAACGACCCGTGATGCTTATAATTTTTTCAAGACGAACATGTCTTGAACGAATTGCCCGCGACCCAGGTCGAAGTGGCTCCAATCGAGGGAAGCTGGCAAAGGGGAATCGCCACGGAACGTCCCTAACAATTCATACCCTGAAAGTTGGCCATTAATTATGTTTTTCCAAGACTCTACTACGAGGTCAACCACGAAGGACAATCTGATCTATCTAGAAAAGTCACCAGAATACCTGTCATAAGCATAGCCAACCGTAGTGGCCCATATATTCGGTGTAAGTTGAACACGACAGTATCGGATCCACGAGGCAGGCCAAGGAAGAATAAACCTAAAAATTGTAACGTGTTCATGAGGACTTCAAGACAATATAAGGAAACCTCAGAAAAAAGGAAATTCTCAATATTGTTGCGTGATATCATTTCT